CAGGGAGAACATGCAGACTCCACACAGAGAGGCTCCTGACCTCTGGAACTACAGGCCTACATCTCTCTCTCTTTCTCTCTCTGTGTGTCTCTCTCTCTTTCTCTCTCTCTCTTTCTCTCTCTCTCTCTCTCTCTTCTCTTTCTCTGTCTCTGTCTCTCTCACCCTCTCTCTCTCTCTCTGCTTCTCTCTCTCTCTCTCACCCTCTCTCTCTCTCTCTTCTCTTTCTCTGTTTCTCTCTCTCTCTCTCTCACCCTCTCTCTCTCTCTCTTCTCTCTCTCTCTTTCTCTGTTTCTCTCTCTCCCTCTCTCTCTCTCTTTCTCTGTTTCTCTCTCTGTGTGTCTCTCTCTCTTTCTCTCTCTCTCTCTGTCTCTGTTTCTCTCTCTCTCTCTCTCACCCTCTCTCTCTCTCTCTCTCTCTCTCTCTTCTTCTCTTTCTCTGTTTCTCTCTCTCCCTCTCTCTCTCTCTTTCTCTGATTTCTGACTCTATCACCGTGTCTCTACAATAAAGGATTTGTTATCATGGAAAAGTGAAGTCATTGAAATTAAAATTGATTTCACCTCAAATTAAAACTATTTTTTTATAGATGGCTCGACTTTACTTTGACTTAATCCTCTAAAATAAAAGGATAAACTCTCTTATTTCGTCTTTTTTTCCCCTCTGGCTTGGCAGAAGGAAGTTTGATTTTTAAAAACTCCTCAGAGGTGACTCTGATTGTGACTCTTAATCTGGAAAAACTTTTCTCATATCCTTAAATAATCCAACTTAAAAAAACAAACCCCAACCAGGTCTGAAGCTAAGATAATGTCTGACCATCACTAAATGATTAAAAGGTGCTTTTATTTGTTTGTTCTGTAGCAGGGCTCTGATTGGCCCGCCCCCCGCACGTTGTGGGCGGGGTTTATTTCGGGCTGCATGCGGCTTGCCTCTGTGCATTTTGGAGAGTGTGTTAGTGGTGACAGCAGCATGGACTCACGCTGCTGGGAAAGTAATGAGAGTAATAGAAAGAGGTGAAGAGGAGAGCTCACATCGACACCAAACAGAGGAGAAGATGTTTTAACATCTCACACTTTACACATTCAGCGTCGGGACTTTTTGGTTTTTCTCCGCGACTCCTAAACGAGAATGAGCTCCACGGACTGGACAGGTGCGCTGACAGGTTAATTAAAAGGCTCATTTAAAAAGCCCTGACATTTGGTGATATTTATTATTTGTGGTTGAATAAAAAAAAAAAAATGGAGGAAGAAGGTTTTGTGGAGTCGTCGTCTGGTTCAGACACCTTGTCCGAGGGGGGAGGAACGTCGCCTGTCACACTGGACATTAAAGTTTCTGCAGAAGAAGAAGAAATCCAAAGCATGGAAACAGGGTACGACAAGGAGGAGGAGGCGGAGGAGGAGAAGGAGAAGGAGGAGGAGGAGGAGGAGGCAGCAGCAGGGGATGAAGAAAGTGAAGAAGACGAGGAGGAAAAGGTAAACAGTCTTTGAGATCAGGGTTCAGGTGTGTGTGTGTGTGTGTGTGTGTGTGTGTGTGTGTGTGTGTGTGTGTGTGTGTGTGTGTGTGTGTGTGTGTGTGTGTGTGTGTGTGTGTGTGTGTGTGTGTGTGTGTGTGTGTGTGTGTGTGTGTGTGTGTGTGTGGAGCTCATGTTTCTCATATCTTGCAGCTGCTGTTTGACTTCATTACATTCATAAATTCTCCTTTTCTCTTTTCACTGTGATGAGTCAAAGTCTAGTGGATGTCTAACATGAGAGGCACTGCTTCATCATGATATCCACAGAGCACCGTGGATATCATGATGAAGTGGGAATGATGTGCAAAGAATTGAAAAAGGAAATTAACTAAGTTTGACATTTTTGAGAACTTAACTGTCAAACTTCAAATAAAAAGCCCAGTATCTTTTTTTTTACTAGCCTGGTGTTGATGCATGTTTTGACAAATGAAGGGCAGGTCTCACTTACAGGCTCGTATGCATTTACAGTTGATTAGTTTTCAGATCAAAAGTGAAGGGAAAAAGCAGCAAGACACAGAAAAAATGAGGACACTGCCTCTCAGAGCGTTCTGCATGATGATCTGGATAAAGACGAGTACATTTAAAACCTCATTGTTCCCCAAATGATTTTTTTTTAAGTGTCCCGTCCAGCGGAGGATAAACGGGCAGAGAGGGGAGGGTCATCCCTTCTCCGTCTTAGGAAACGCAGCCTCCTTCTGAATATGGTCAAAAGTTAAATGAATAATCCGTCCTGCACAAAGTGAACGTATCGCAGCAGGTTTAAAGTTATTTAAAACATATTTTTAAAATAACGTTCGTCCCAGTTCCCCAAAAAAATATCTCAATCAGTGAGGACAGTTCAAAGTTTGACTGCTACCTCACTTCACATTGCACTAAATCATTTTTTCACCCCCCTCCCATACCCACAATCATCGTCCGGTTGTCGCCCTTATGTAGCTTTATGTTCTGCTTTTATCAGCTCTCTGAAGTTTATGAACGCTTTTAAACATCAATGTTAAATGTAATTTTTTGGCACCAGTAACATGATAAATATCACACAAGTCAGTGCAACGATCCCAGCCTTACTGTCAGACGAGACTCTTCTCCTCTGTCGCCCCCCGGTGGTGGAATGAACTTCCAAACTCCATGTGATCTGCAGAGTCCCTCTGCACCTTTAAGAAAAAGCTAAAGACCCAGCTCTTTCATGAATACCTACTAACTTAATGATGATGGTCTCCATATTATTGATGATGATGATGGTAATGACGATGGTTTTTGTTTGATAACGACGACTTATAAGATGGTTTCTATACTGATTAGAGCTCTCAAGAACTGCCCTCAATGTTGTGCTTTGCCTCTGGTCACTTCCTGTCAGCACCTGTGTGTCCAATCAGACTCAAAGCTGATCGTTTGCTCTTACTGACATTGTTCCCTTTTTTCTAGATCCTTGCTTGTGTTGTTCTTACTCTCTGATGTACGTCGCTTTGGATAAAAGCGTCTGCTAAGTGAATTGTAGAATACCGATCTGATACCCGGGCTGTGGGTAAAGCCAAGGATTGCGCTGTCAAGAATACCAGATCTCGCTATTTGAGTCGATATCAGACGGACATCCCAAACCAGGACCGGATCTGAACATCCCATATTAGTGCAGAGTGAATTTCACCAGCGAGAAACAAGTTAGCTGTTGATTCTGACACCACATCCTGGTGATCATTTTGCCGTCACAAATAAGGACACTCCTCTGTGGACACACAATCCTCCATGCATGCAAAAATCTTTGTTGCATTGACGGGCGTCTCTGGCAAGCAGAAGGGAGGGAATCATGTTTGTGCAAAGGATTCCTTTTTTTTGTTTTATTAAGGAGAAAGAAAAAGTATTAGAGATGCATGATCCACTTTATTTCAGTTCCAACCCAATTCTGATTACATATGTACAGACTCTGATTTGAATGTTGTTGTTGTTGGTATTATGTGTAAGGCTACACATAGCTGAAGTAAACCTATCTTGGCTTCAAGTACAAACAGGAAGCAGCAGCAACTGTCAGGTTTTCAAATTAACCCTCTGGTTACCTGTGTCAATTTTGTGGACACTTCAAAACTTATTTTACTAATAGTTTGGTCATTTTTGATGCTATTGCTTTCACTTTTCACACAGGTGGGTATTTTTACTATTTTTTTTAAAATAATTTGAACAATTTTAGTTTTATTTATATATATATATATATATATATATATATAAATAAATATGCAACACTTGTGACCCCGTGTCCACTTTTTGGACATCTGGTGCTATGTGTCGCAATTAAATCCAGTGCGCCTGAGGGTTAAATCTTTCAAGCTGAAGTTAAAGAGTTGTACTGTTGATCATCGTCTGAACGTTCTTGATGATGATTTGAAGCCAAATCTTACAATTCAGTCTGAATGTCTTCAAAGTTGGACTGTGCAAGCCGAGGATCATGAAAGTGCCCAACGATGAGTCTTGATCGGTGACGCGGATTGGGGCAGTCAATCCGATATGTAAATAACGTCAATATCAGACCCGATACTGTCCCATCTCTGAAAAGTATCGAGGGTAATATTGTGAGGACGTTGCATTCCCTTTACCGACTGTTCCGCCATCATCACATCTGTAAACGCTGCTTATGAACCTTCTAGGATCTTTAAATCTAGGCAGCTGATATTTCCTGAATACTGAATGTTTACCTCTCTGAATGAAATATTCCTAAACTGGGGCAACCCAGACTCCTCTCCTATAGAGGAGCTTACTGTTCTTGTGGTTTGAAATCAGGAAACAGATGTGGGGGAAAAAAGAGGAAGTCAAAAATTCATGTCTCAGCTCTTCGATTTATACAACTCTTTAACGAGACGCTTCTGCAGACTGGTTTGACTGGCTGGCTTCAACACAATACTGATGTTGTGCAAAAGGTGTGTCTGAGGTTTTCAAGCACCTACCTGACCTGTAAACATTTTCTACATCATAATACCATCAGTCTGACTGCAGGCTGTAGGCGTGTCTGACTGTGTGATCTCAGAGGGGGGGAAAAAACAGAAACTTGTGCAACGTTATCCATTTCTCACTTTCTCGGATGCACGTCGGCACAGGTTTGAAAATCAGGACTTTTCTGCATGACACAAGCTTTGCCATCAAAGTTAGGAAAGCTACAGATATGCAAACGGGACTCATCGCATTTCAATCAATCAGTCAATCTTTATTTGTAATTCACAACAGATGTTATCTGCAGACACTTTTCCAAAAAGAGCTCGTCTAGACCGCACTCTTTGTGTTGTTAATTACAAAGACGCAACATAAATCCACCCTGATTCACAGCATGAACTTCCTGTAAGCTGCAGAAATATTAATTAATTATTTTTAATAATATTGCGACAAAATTTCCAGCAGAACTTTTACTCACCAGTTTAAAAAAAAGTATGGAAATTTGTGTTTTGTAGATTTTTTTCTTCGTTGTAACAGCGCTTCTTGGCAATAAATCTTAGACCGTTGGAAAGCCTGTTTCCCCTTTTTAAATGGTGCCAGATTTGTAAGGAACATGCATTTGTGGGATGAGCAGCAGAGCTGAGTATGTGGGTTGCGCCCATGGAAAACTTGCCAAATATTCTCTGCCAATGCCAAACAGCTCATTCTGCTGTTGACTCTCGTTTGGTGTCGTTTAGAGGATTGGATGATTGAAGTCTGAAGAAGAAGAGTCAACAGCAGGATGAGCTGTTTGGCATTGGCAGAGAATATTTGGCAAGCTCTGCTGCTCATCCCACAAATGCATGCTCCTTGCAAATGTGGGAAATAAAACCGGATTTCCAACGGTCTACAATTTAGTGCCAAGAAGCATCGTTACAATACAAAAAATCTACCAAACACAAATTTGCTTACTTTTTGTGATGATGTTTACACGTCTTATGAGACTCTCTCCAGCATGTAGGTAGCCCCCCCCCCCCGGTGTTGGTGTCGTGTTTGCACAACACTGGTGGTGCTTCACTTATTTAGTTTGGCTCAGTAACACTGTCACAGTCCGTTAGCTTAACAGAGCGAGGACTCTTATTTCCTTCTGACTCAAAGTGAACCTTTTTTAAGGTAAACCACTGAACTCTGGGGTTGTAATGTCATATGATCTGCAAAAACATATAATTTGGAGTAAATGCCCTGCACACATTGTTGAACATCAGTTACAAACATACCTGTTGAAATAAGGCATATAGTGAATAAAGCTACATTTAAAAAAAAAACGCTTCAATCTCACAGATCTTCTTCAGACATCGTCGAGTCAACATCACAATATTCACAAACACAAACACACTCATGACGCAGCAGCTGATTGTGATCTTCATCTCGACAACAAATAAGAAGAATTGAGACGCTTTCACTCTCAGCCTTTGGTTTAACATTTCACCTGTTGGATTGTGGTCTGGGTCTAAGAGGGCATGCTGCAGTCAGGTGAAGCTCAAGCTCTCTGTGACCTTTCCTTCTCAGCGGGGAGGGGGTGGTGACGTTTATTCCCTGTGATTGGTGCACGACCACAGTGACCTCTACGACCTCTGTGCTCTAATGAACCTGCTGCATTATGTTTCCTTTAGTCCAGATTGAGATTCTGTTGATATAAAGACAAAATATTCTCATTATAGCGTTGTACAGCGGACTCTGCTGCTTCGTCCAACACCTCTGTGTCGTTCTTTTTACCTCATGCCCTGCCTCAGGAGCCCCCCCCCGTCCCCCCGCCCCCTGCTCCTGCCTGACAGCGATAGTCTCCTGCTGTGAGGTGCATGTATGAACATCCAGGAGGATTTCAGGGGTTAGAGCTCCTGAAATTATCGAGAAAATTGCTTTTAAATTAAACGGAAAAATGAACCAAAACTTAGATCTCATCAAACAAACTTCTACCGGGCGTTGAAGCCAGTTTCAGACTTGGCATCAACATCAAATTAAACCAGAGAAGCGTGTATTAATAGATCAACCCTGTGACCTTTTTCTCCTGCTCTCTTTGAAATGTCATTTCTAAATCCCCCCCCCGCACACAGAACCCACAGCAGATGAGATGTAATATGACCTGTAACACTGAGCTGAATGGACACAGTCCCGAGCTCAAACACCACAAAGCAGGTCAGCCCTGGGGGGGGGGGGGAGTAACACTATCGGCTTAATCAGGGGACCCTGACCTCCTGATCTATGCGTTACTGCCACGGAGTTAAAGAAGGAAAGTCTTCTGAGAGTCTTCTGAGAACTCGCATGACGTCACCCTTCCTGACTTAGCCCCCCCCCCCCCCGTACTGAGTTTCAAGAAGGAAGAAGAAGATTACTACGACAGCTTCACTAAATCAGTCCACTTTCATGGACGGTGACAGAGGAGGGGGATTATCCCACACGTAATCTTTGTTCTTACTCACGCGAGATATAATAGCAGGAATCGATTTAAATAAAGTCTTTAAATGTGATTTTTCACACTTAAATATAATATAAATCAAGTATCTCCTCTGAAAATAACTCTGTGAGTCATGACTGTCTACAATGGGTGTAACACCCGAGTCCCACTGTCTGTGATGTTTTCAGAGTTTTCAGAGTCCTATCTTCACTTTGTTTACATCGCCAGGACGGCCGGCTGACTCCTCCCCTCGTGTATAAAAGTTGTTTAATTGAGGGACTAGAGAAAAGAAGAATAACATACTGTACTCACTGCTTAACTGTGTTTCTAGATCACGCTCATTAGTTAGCATGCTAACGCAACAATGCAGCGCGAGTTGTTTTGGTTTCATGCTGGCGCTCAAGGGCGACATCTGCTGGATCAAAAAACCACATATAAAGCCTTCAAGAATCAACAGAAATAGTTCTGAAACCAGATGATGTGAATAGAGCTGTCAAGTCGTTTTTCACACATGCACTCCTGAAAATATCTAGATCATTTCAGGACGACTGCTCCGGAGACTCCTCACCTCTTGTTCACATATGATCCTCACAGCTGGAGACTTTCCCTGTCAGACTTTCTGCAGAAAAATTACTCAGTCTGGCAGGAGAAACTCTGAGTGAAAAACTCGGCTGTTTGCGTTCACACATGCAGCTCCTCCTGGAAATATCAGGAGTATTTTCAGGAGTTTTCTGCAAGTGTGAGAACCCTATGTGTCACAGGTGTCAGGTACCAGTTTTCTACGAGTTACTGACGCACAGTGTGGAATATAGCATTGGTTTTGAATGTCTGACAGCACCTGTAATGTTTTTTTTTTAAAGATTTATTTTTGGGCTTTTTGTGCATTTAATGACGAGATAGGACAGAGGATAGAGTTTGAAATCAGGGAGAGAGAGAGAGTGGGGAATTACATGCGGGAAAGGAGCCACAGGCTGGATTCGAACCCGTGCCGCCCGCTTGTAGGATCATAGCCTCCATGCATGGGGCGAGCGCACTAACTACTGCTCCAACAGCACACCAACCACCAGTAATGTTTTTAATCCCATCCTCGGCTTCATCCTTTCATATTTACAATCTGTGGGGAAAAAAAGGCAGAAAATGTAACCTGTTCAGACAAAATGTGCAGCAAATCCAGGCACAAAAAAAACAACAAAGCCAGAGCGCAAAGGCCTTTACGTGTGAGTTGTAGTTAATACAGGTAGATGAAAAAATAGACACACCTCCCCAGAGACCAGAGAGACCAGGTTTAGGTCCTCAAACAGCTCGTTGTGCTTGACCTGCAGTGAATCAGATAAAGATACTTCATTTACACACACGACAAAAAAGAAGCTGCAGTTCCTCATTTGTTTTTCTGCCAATCAGCTTGATTCACCTGAAATAGACGAGTTAATCATAAAACATGTAAATCACATCAGATGGATTTCTGCTCCTCCCGTCGTTCACATGTTTGAACTCGACTCGCTTTAGCTTCATGCAGCACTTTTACAAAGAGTCGTTAAAGTCAGATCATGTTCATGAGACTCACACTCTGCTTGCCAAAACACACAGGCTGTCAGCCCCCCCCCCCCCCCCTCATAATCATAAACCCTGTGTGTCACACTTTCTCCACCTCTCATGTTGTGTAAACAGAGCTGTGGGAACGGCTGCTGCTGGTTCTTTAATACCAACATTTCCTTTTGTTTGTCACATTCATTTTAACTGCTGCAACAACAAATGTTTTTTTTTCCCGACGAGGAGGAGGAAAGGTTTGTCATGAGCACCAAGTCTCAGCCTGAAACCACACTCATAAAGTGAGCGTTATGAGAAGTTCTCAAAGTGTGAAGATCAGAGGACATTTCACAACAATAATGATTAAATATCCTGAAGAGGATTTCTCTCTCTCTTCCCACACGCCTGGTTTTACTCTGCAGTCTTCATGATGACATCACCTGTGTGTGTGTGTGTGTGTGTGGGTGTGTGTGGTGGTTACCTGATAATTACGTTGGATTATCTTCAGCACATGAACAACTTTCTCAGGGGTTGGGTTGAGAGGAAAATGCACGGCATGCACTGCAAAACATTTTGGTGATTAAGGACCAGGATGTCACAATGGTTAGTTTGTAAAGGAATATCTTTTAGAGGAGAGATGCAAAAATAATAATCTGTGAAAACAACAGATTCAAAGACAGTCAGAAATGTTTGTAGCTCTTAAGGGAGCAATATGTAACTCTGACACCTAGTGGTCAAAGTGGGTACTGCAGTCTAAATTCTAAACATCATAGAGAGCTGTCTCCCCCCCTCCTCTCTAGAGTGGATGCTCACTCAGGTCACCATGTGGTGGACTCTGAAGCTTCAGTGTTTATCCAGCTCTGCATGGGTCTGTAAACCTTTCTGTGTTCTAACCTCTCTCCATTTTTCAAAAGCATCTCCAATATTGATCCTAGTTTGAGCACGTTTCTGCTCGTGGAGCTTATTAGAAACATGCAGAGGCTTTTTAGGTCGGGTACAATCACTTCTATCTGAACCACTTCTCTTGACCGCTTCCATCACTGCAACACCTGTTGACCTGATAACTGCTCTCATATCTGACACACCGAGGGGCGTCCAAAACCGCCTACCTTCTCTGTTCTGTCTTCTCTCCCAGAAGATTAAACATAACTGTGGGGGGTGCTGATGGCCTAGCGATTTGCGCCCCATATACGGCTGCTATAGTCCTCCATGTGGACAGCCCGGGCTCAAGTCCGACCTGTAGCTCATTTCCTGCATGTCGCTCCTCTCTCTCTCTCTCCTGGTTTGTCTTTAAACATATTTTCCTTTCCTTCATCTTCTCTCCTTTATACTGAATTTAGCACGTTCATTTGGCATCCATTTGTCTTCATCGGTTACCCAGCAGGCAGCTTCAGTCAGTGTTCGATTTGTCTCCCGTGAGAAATAAAACAAAGAACGTGGACTAAACATACGCCCGCTTGTCCTTTGGGTGTGTGTTACATGAAATGATAGGACTGCATGGAGGCGTGAAATCGTTTCAAACAAGATTCATGGACCAAAAGAAAAAATAATGAGTTCCTTTAAAAAAAGGAGAAATGAAACATGTGCGAGTGTTGTAAGTCATCCCACGTCCAAAGATAAACAGTAAACGGTCGTGGTGAAATGAAAGTCTTCCCCCTGTGGAGCCGTTTGCTCCAAAACAAACTTGGCACTCTCCCCTCAGTGAGTAATGACTTCGTTTCAAACGAGAGCTAACCATGTGTGACACTTGGCAACTCCGTAAACTGCATTAACCGGAGGATTGAAACGGCTCGACAGGTTTTTTAAAGATTAGAGCTGCTGTGTTTAGATTAGCAAGGCGCTTCATTTATCACATGGAGGACGTGTTTGTTTGTTTGTTCTCTGTGGATTCATTCAGCACGTGATTGAAAGGACCGTGTCAGGAATGTCGTTTTAAATGAACACGTTTCAGACAACCGACTACAAAACCCTTTAGTCTGATCTCTCAGGGGAAACACAGTTCTGTCTTCAGGTTTTATTTTACCTTAAAGATAAATGTTCATCACAGTGGTCTATAAGCTCTGATTGATTCCAATTGCTATCGCGCTTTTTCCTGTTTAAAGGCGCAGTCACACTGGCAATCTGTACCGTGCCATACTCGAGCGTGATTGGCCCCCCGCTGCGCCATTCCCACGCTGGCCGGCACAGCCTGTGGTCACACTGGCCAGGGCTAACCGTGCCTTAAAGCACGATTACCTCGTAATACAACGCATGCATGCTTTATGTTATTATGAAGCGTGCTCAGTTGACGAACAGGCGGTGCTGGAGCCAATTCTAGCTCCCATAGGGTGAGAGGCGGGGTTACACCCTGGACTGGTCGCCAGCCAATCACAGGTCACCAGTTAACCTAACGAGCATGTCTCTGGACTGTGGGAGGAAGCCGGAGTATCCGCATGCACAAAGAGAACAACCTTACAGAAACTGTCCAATGGGTTTCCAACCACTGCTAACCATGCTCCTGCAGCCAGCCTCTAGTGGACACTCATGAACTGCAGGATTGTGCACTCCGCATTGGCTTCATTTTTCAACAGCGGAGGATGCCGCTTGGTTACATCCAGTGACGGTTGAACTTGTAGTCCATCCGTCCACTCAGCAGCACAGAACTTTTATTTGTTTCAGAGCATCACAGGAAAGAGAAACACTAAACTCAAACAGTGTCGTCATTGTCATCAATCAGGACGCTTGGAGGGAAGTGATTGGTTCTGGGGCTGCAGCTTGCCAACATGGTTGAATAATTTCTCACACTCAAAAAAAAAAAAGTCAAACTCTAAATGTGTTTTTCTCTCTGTTGGACGTGTGTTTGTGTTCAGGATTCTCCTCTACCAACACACGCAGGGTTCACCCTGAGTACGATCGAGCCTGTGAAGACAGTTATGTAACATCGTGTGGTTCTGGAGGAGCTTGTCAAAGAGTGAGAAATAAACCCTGCATGATGTTGTCATTAAGAATACCACTGCGTGTGCTTTAGGACTGTAAGTGTAGAACGAAAAGTGTGTGATGAGAGCGGGAGGTTTGGAGTTAAAGGGCAACGTCACACACACAAACAAACACTACCCATGCAGGTACAATGAAAGCAGGAGTAGTGGGAGGTGGGGTCAAACACACACACGTATTTGTTGTCGGTTGAAGCTGTGACGTTTTGGGTCATAATACATCGAAGTTGAAATACACACAAAGCAAAAATGTAAAGTTTCTTTGCAGATGTAGTTGAATGTTTTATTACCCGCTTTGCTCACATTCCCTCGTGTAAATTGAACTGTTGTGTGAAAGACAAAACGTGGGCACTCATCAAGATGCATTATTGGAAAAGCAACATCCAGGGTACCATGAGCATATCTTGGCCTCTGTTGTTCACATTTAACTAGAGTTAGGGCCATTATTTTATTCAAGGGAGACCTGGCCAAGGCAGGCAGCAGCAAAAACACAAAGTTACAGACGGAGACACAAAGAGGGACAAAGTACAACTTACAAAACTCTACATTTCGCATTAAAATAGAGAACCATCCATGAGTCAAATCTGGGAGTCAAATCTGTGGGTCAGCAGTTCGAGCAGTCGAGCTAAAATCAATCAATCAAACTTTATTTGTATAGCACTTTTCATACAACAAATGTATCCCAAAGTGCTTTACATCAACATTTAATCAAACAGCAACAACATGACTCCCTCCCCCACCCTATCTCACAATCCAAAAACTAAGTTAAAGATAACTAGATAAGAACATCAAAATCATTAACAGCCAACAACCATTAAGATTTGTAAACATTTAAGGACACCAGCTCATCGAGTTTTGACATCATTCTGCAACAGATTCCAGGCTGATGCTGAAGATACCCAAAAAAGCCGATTTTCCCAACTTCTATCTGAGCGTTTGGGACAGAGGACAAAATGACTACCGTTTTTCCAGGGGCAATATTTGCACCTCTGTGACATTTCACCACCTTATATGTGTAAGTCTTGGACCGGCAATGTGGGGACAAAGTGATCCCCCCACTGTGCCACCTTTTGAAAGTAGTAACAGAAGCGTTACAGGGGCAAGACAGGATTGGCAGAGCCAGCAGGGGAGCACAGCGCTGTGTGTGTGTGTGTGTGTGTGTGTGTGTGTGTGTGTGTGTGTGTGTGTGTGTGTGTGTGTGTGTGTGTGTGTGTGTGTGTGTGTGTGTGTGTGTGTGTGTGTGTGTGTGTGTGTGTGTGTGTGTGTGTGTGTGTGTGTGTGTGTGTGTGTGTGTGTGTGTGTGTGTGTGTGTGTGTGTGTGTGTGTGTGTGTGTGTGTGTGTGTGTGTGTGTGTGTGTGTGTGTGTGTGTGTTGAGCTCCCGCTGTGCTCTGTTCTCTAAGGCTCCTCCGTTACACAATGTGAATTCAGACTTTGGAAATTGTACCCTCTAAAACTCAAGTCAGATTAGTTTTTTGTCCTCCTCAATTGTTGTTGACAAAGTTGATTACTGAAGTCCCGACCCTCGTTTTGATTGGTTGGTGAAGGATTAGTGAAATTTAAGAGCGCAGCAATGCTCTAAAAGTTGAACCATGTCAGCTGAAAAGCTCTGAGAGCGCAGCGACAACACACTGCGGACGCTGATCTGCATTGGTTCTGTAAAGACAAAGAACACTGTTACCTTTGCCTTACAGATTGCTGTAAACACTTAAAGGGTCAAACATGGTCGGTGATCTTGGCTTTTGTTGGCTCTTGTTATGTAATGTATGGGAACAGCTAACATAATGATTGAGTCCACCACGCCAGAGTCAGGAAACGGTTCATTGTTTTATTAATTCATGGATGGAGCGCTTCGCCTCCAGTCTGTGGAGCTACACATTCATCAGCTGGTTAGACCTCGGAGCTGTGTGTGAACGATCCAAATTAAAGATCTATTATGAGACATGAAGAGTATTTTACGAGGACAGGAATAGACAAGAATCTACAGCCTGAAGGCAGCGTCTCTGGATGACTGTGCTTGTTTGTTTGGGTGGAGCAGCATCGTCGAGCTTAATGTATGAAAACAATGAGTCACATGGCACGCGATGATGTCATTCGATCCTGATGGGAACTTTTATGATTCAACTTCTTTATGACCAACATTTTTATTGTTTTCAAATCTTTTACAACAGTACAATACCAGACAATAAATGACATAGAACAATACCCAACAAGGGAAACACTATCAATGCAAGACAAACAGAAATTATAATTAAGTTAAATTAAATACAGGAATAAAGCAGGATGATTAAAGGCTTTTTATGCAATTTTTTGATCCAGCAGATGTCGCCCTTGAGCTCCAGCATGAAACCAAAACAACTCGCTGCATTGTTGTGTTAGCATGCTAATGCTAGTGATCTTTATTCTGCTGGTATCTTCACACTGCATGTAAATTTACCTGAAATGAGCGTGATCTAGAAACACAGTTAAGCAGTGAGTACAGTATGTTATTCTTCTTTTCTCTAGTCCCTCAATTAAACAACTTTTATACACGAGGGGAGGAGTCAGCCGGCCGTCCGGGCGATGTAAACAAACTAAAGTTAGGACTCTGA